TCCCTGGGGACCCTTAGCCCCCAGATCCCCATAGGTGGGGACATTTAGCTTCCCCCCCCCCCCAGATTTGGGAGCATTTAGACCCCAAACCCCAACATCTGGGGGCATTTAGCCCCACATCTCCATTCCTGGGGACATTTAGCCCCCAGACCTCCATCACTGGGGACGTGTAGCCCCCCAACACCAGGTTCACCCCAAAACATGGCCGGGGCACAGGGGGGGGTCTCACCACCACGCTCTCCTCTTCCCCCCCCAGATACCGCACCCCGTCCGAGCTGCACGACAACTTCTCCCTCTCCACCATTGCCGAGGGCTCCCACCCAAACGTAAGGAAACTTCCTGGTACTGTGTCCCCCCCTGTCCCCCCCACTTGCCATCCTACCCTTGTCCCTCTGTCTGTCCATCCCATCCCATCCCTGTCCGGGTGACGGTGTCACCACCCCAAGCCCCTCCGCACCTTCCTGTCCCCATCCCACCGTGGGCACCATCCCATTGTTATCAGGACCTTCCCCTGGTGACCCTAACCAGGCCAGGCGGGGGGGGTCGGTGTCACCCCGCTGTCCCCCTGCCCCATCCCCTCCTTGCCCACGTGGCACCCTGGGGAGCCACCATCTGGAGTTGCCTGGTGGCTTTGTCTCCACGCATGGGTGGCAGGGAGATGTTGGGGACACCCAGCGCCGCGTGGCTCCGGCGGGCGATGCTGGAGGGTGAAACACCCTGGGATGCTCCTGGTGTGGTCAAGATGTGTGTGTGTGTCCCCAAAAAACAAAAAGGGCTGCCCCACCAACCTCCTCTCTTTCGAATCGGCACAGAGAGAAGCCAAGGGCTTTGCCGAGCGCGAGCCGGAGGAGGAGCGTAGGTCCCTCTAAGCCTGTGCCGTGCCCCACCGCCGGGTTTTCACCCCAAAAACCCCATCTTTCGACCACCTGTAGCACCTGGAGCCTCCGCTCGGCCCCGACCCCCCGGAGGAGGCTCCTGGAGCCCCCTCGCTCCCCGCTGCCCAGAGGAGGAACCTGGGGATGAATCAGGTCCCACTCCCCGGCGTCCCCTTTGGGATGCGACGGGCTCGGTGCTGGGATGGGACCTGGGTGCTCGGAGACGCAGCCGAAACGATGGATGTCAAACCCCTGGGGAAAAAGGGGTTTTTTTCGGGGGGGGGACACACGTGGAGCAGCCCCTGCACCGGGCGAGGAGCTCAGTGCTCGTCCCATGGGGTTTCCTGTTGGAGCATCACGCTGGGGGTCACCCGTGGGACCATTGGCCAGAAGATGGAGGTTGCCCACCCCCATAAGAGCTGCTCCTTGGGTGTCCCCCCCCC